ATTATGTATACTCATTCATGCTGCTTATTGATATTTGTTGTGAAGTAACAACAGCTTGTGTATTCATCAAGGAGTTTAACACTAAATGGCAATTTTATGTTTAAATCACAATTACTTCCCTGTTTCAGAATACAACAATTTCCTAATCACCTGCCAACAGGCAAAAACATGGTTGGATTGAGGGAAAAAAAGAAATCAAAATAACTTTCTCCATTTCTATCTCATGAAGGAACTTCTTTGATTTAAGGCATAGGATGAAGTTCACTGCCAAGTATGGATTCACCAGCAGCCACTGCCTGATACTCCATGAGAGGAGCTGCATCCTCAGGGTGCAATTACAGCAATTATCTGGATGGATCTTCTCATCAGCGACCTTTGACTCATTGCTACGAACTGTCAGTCTTCATCACAGATGGGCAAAGCAGTTTTATTGTTTCCACCATCAGCTGCTCCTGCACCCCGAGGCACAGCCCTGCTTTGGGCAGCCCTGGCAGGGTGAGCCACAGCACTGCACTCCTGCATCCCTCACGGGCATCGGGAGGAAAACACAGAATTATCACTCTGTCTCCAAAGCACAGCTGCACTGCCTAATGTTAAAAGGTGGGGTTTGTTGGCTGTGCATCACTTCTTGGAAGTTTGTCCCAAAAAACACACACAGCTGTCTCACTTTGCACCTAACCAGAATGAATTTATTATCTGAATTTACTATAAACTTACACCTCTGCAAAAATGGAGCACAGTCTTACCCTAACAGTATTGTGACATTTATTACCCCACAAATTTTACTGGAGCAAAACTGCAAAAGTTTTGTCAGAGGACATGGCCTGGAGGGTACAGCTCATGTAAAATTAAACAATTTCAATTCACAGTCAGTAAAGCTAAATGATGAAAGAATAAACAACTCCCTTCAAGCGGCAGGACATTTAAAATGGGATTGGCAAATACCAACTATAAACAGCTTCACAACTTTCACTTTGCAGTGAAACAGCTGATGAGCTCCTATAACAGAACAAAAAATCACCTTTGCCATAAAGGGACTTTAGTTCTCTCAGCTTACAGCTCTTCCAGAAAAAGGATGTCAGTTCCAGGCTTAATAATAATCACCATTAGCTGCTACCTACCATTTAATTAGTTGGTAACAAAGGCAAGTCTCTTTTTTATCAAAGCAATCAGCAGTGTCACTCCTTTGCATTCCTCCCATTACCTGCAGATGCTGTTATGTGGACAGGACAGGGATAGAACAAATAATAGTTCAATTTGGGGGATAAAAAAAAACAAACCAAAAGTTAAAAATAAAATAATTTAGAGAGGCAACTTAAACTGTCAGCTACCAAAGGAGATAGAAACGAAATCCTTCATTGTCAAGTGCCAATTCAAAGTGAAAACAGATTGAACCAAACTGCCCAAAAATGCTTTCCCATTTTGTAATGCTCACACCCCTAACGCCAGACAGAGCCCAGCTGTTTCTGAGACTGACTTCAAACAATAGCTGGGCTGTTTAAAAGTTTAAAAGCTGTTTAAAACAGGGAATGATGTTTGCCCGAAGACATACTTTATTAATGCAAATTGCTTTCAAATGCACATCCAGTTTCTTAAGCAAAACAAACCCGAGATTTTAAAGCGAGTGGAAGTTGCTGCTGGAGCCATACACAACCTGTCAGCCATAATTCAGTCACCCATTAGGAGAGCTTGCATTCAGGGAGAAACACAGCAAAAGGGGCCTCTAAGGTTTGTATCAAAGGAAAATGTTTTTCATTTCCTCTTCCTACTTCAGAAAGGCCTTGAGATTCGAGTCTGTGTCTCCTTTTTGGGCCTTCCAATTACCACCAGATTGCTTGTCCAGGATGCTGCACACCACTCGTGGCCATGGCTGTTAGTCATGCTGCCACAGTGCCTTCCTACCAGCTTAAGCACTGACCTTTAAGAAGTTATAAATGTTATTTCAGCTTTAATATTCTGATTTTAATGTCTCTGGAAGTGATTAACAGCACTAGCTTTATGTCTTTAGGTCCTTGCCTATTTGCTCACCACCTTCTGCTAATGTAACTTAATCATCACATGCTGCAGCACCCCAGGTTTCTATTTCTGGTTCAGTGAGACTGAAGTAGTAATAAGCAGAGCACACTGTGGGTTTCATTGCTCCTGAAAGCAAGAGGATTAAATCAGAGATTCATTTTGTTCCGTGTGTCATCTTTCTCATCTGTACAATGGAGACAACACAGCTATGGCTGAGAGACAGAGAGGCTTCCTCACAACAACAATTACTCTCCCATCTGTTAATTTTTTGTCAGTTCTCTTTGCAGTATAGTTGTGAGATTGTTAAATAACCAAATTTGTGTAGCTAACAAAAAAGTAATCATGGCAAAGATCTCCAGGAACGTGCCGACAGACAGCAGACATCTTTCCCTGATCCAGACTCAGCAGTCAGCAAAAAGATTTGAAAGACAGGAAAGAGACTAGTTTGGATACAAAGGAGAGGATGGCAGGAACGTTAAGATGACAATTCAAGAAAATTTCTTGGAACAGTCACAAAAATGGAAATCAGCTGGAAATCCATCATTTCCTTGTATACTGTACAAGAATAATGCTTAGACAGTGAGTAAAGACCATTTCATGGTAAAATTTTACATCACAGCGTGAGAAGTCCCAGTCCTTGTGGTGATGCTGACTGTGCACCATTTCCACATTGTTGTGTCAACACTTACCTTGGAGAACGTTTAAAAGAAATCTACTGGAGTTGACAAGTTCCTCCTTTATCAAAGAGCCAGGTCACTCCTCATGGCCTCTGCCCACTTCACCTCTCCTTAAAGGACTTTCTAAAATTCACCTAACAAATGTGTTGCTTGTTAAAAGCTCTAACACCTCTTGAAGTAAAGATTTCTTAGATAAGCTGCTTAAATTATCAATAAAGAGTAACTTTCTTGGTATGTTAAAAAGATTTATCAGCAACAGAAAATATATTAACATGGTCTAGTGCAGGCTCCCTGCACCTGCCTTGCACTGGTGCCATGGAGCCAACTCAGCCAGAGGGAAACACAAACTCAGCGAAGGCTGAGGAGCTGTCACAGCCCATGAAGGTGCAGGGACCGGGAGAAAATTCCCATTCCAGGCACAAGAAAGCAGCTCCAGCCCATCCCAGCTGGGCTTCAGCAGAAGAGAAGGCAGCGGCGCACTCCCCATCCTCTCTGCTGGCTGCGGTGACAACGCTTTGTAGCGACATCAGGGCTCGGGCAGCTGCTAAGGGGATGAAGAGCTCTTCTTGTATCGCCCGGACGTGGCCAAAGGCACGGAGGGACGGGCCGGGGGAAACTGAGGCAGCGATTCCAGCGCCCGCAGCGGCCGCGGCGGCGGCACCGTGCTGACACCTGCGGGCAGCGCCGGGAATGAGCGATCCCGGATCCAACACCGGGAATGACCGATCCCGGCACCGGGAATGACCGATCCGGGATCCAGCGCCGGGAATGGCCGATCCGGGCACCGGGAATGACCGATACCGGCACCGGGAATGACCGATCCCGGATCCAACACCGGGAATGGCCGATCCGGGATCCCGGCACTGGGAATGACCGATCCGGCACCGGGAATGACCGATCCCGGATCCAACACCGGGAGTGACCGATCCCGGCACCGGGAATGGCCGATCCAGGATCCAACACCGGGAATGGCCACGGCCGGGAATGACCTATTCCGGCACCGGGAATGACTGATCCAGCACCGGGAGTGACCGGTCCGGGATCCAACACTGGGAATGACCAATCCGTGATCCAACACCGGGAATGACTACGGCCAGGAATGACCGATCCTGGATCCAACACCGGGAATGACCACGGCCAGGAATGACTGATCCAACACCGGGAATGACCGATCCAACACTGGGAATGGCCACGGCTGGAATGATCGATCCAACATTGGGAATGACCACGGCCAGGAATGACCAATCCTGGATCCAACACCAGGAATGACCATGGCTGGCAATGACCGATCCAGGATCCAACACCGGGAATGACCACGGCCAGTAATGACCGATCTGGGATCCAACACTGGGAATGACCACTCCAGCACCAGGAACGACCACGGCCAGCAGTGACCACTGTCAGACCCCCACCGGGAATGACCACAGCTAGGAATGACTGATCCAACACTGGGAATGACCACGGCCAGCAGTGACTGCTCCCGGACCAGCACTGCCCCTGAAATCCTGCAGGAACTCCTGCAGGAACACCAGAGCCAATTTCCAGTCTCGGCTCCTTCTTCTCATCCCCTTGGCAGAGTCCAGGATTCTTTTGAGGTCAATTCTCCCAAATTTCAGCATGCAATCCATTCTAATTGACCCATCGCTTCCACAAGGTCACATCACATTTTAGCATCATTGAAGCTACTCCTGTGTCAAGTCTGTTTTATTACAGGGCCTAAATAGTAAAAAAAAATGCATCCAAAGGCCTGGTTTTACTCTTTCTCTGCATTTCATCAGCTGGGTCTGTGCAAAACTGTATTTTCTCACACATTAACTATTTAAAGCTTAGACAATTTCAGCTTGCAGAGGAAGGTCAGAATGCAAGTTTTCTCTTCTTTCCCAAATAACTGAATTATCTCAGAACATTGTTACATAATGCTACAGAATGCTCCAGTATTGTCTGTTTCAGACATGAATAATCCCTGTGCATTTAACAACTCCTCCGCAATTAGTAAATTAAAATATTTTAAATTTGGCATCTGTTCAGAATATGTATTGCTTTAAAAGATATTAATACATATCTGTGGGTCTAAAATATGTGAGTAATATAATGAAATTAAATTATCTTTGTAAAATATAAATCAGAACAGTGATGCAAATATTTGCATTTGCATAGTTATGCAAACTCTTAATCATGAAGAACAATCACTGCTGTTAAAAAGCATAAGGCCACTAGGAATGGCTCCTGAGGAGGTCAAATCATTCTTTCTTGATTTCCAAAATGACACATTTATTGCTTCTAACTACTGAAATAATAATTTGAAAGTTCAGAGATAAAAATATATTTTATTACTATATTCACATTCCACTCTATGTAGTCTGATTTTTAGATGTCAGCACAGAATGAGTCAGCTTTGTTATTAACAATTCAAATGCACAATATATATTCAGCAAATTGATCAAGGAATGTAAACAACTTCTAAAATTAATTTTAACCAAGCAATCTGCTGCTTAGAATTTATAACACAAAGGGAAACAGCTCAACAAGAACAAAGTTAACAATATCATTTAAGCAATTATAATGAACAAAAGTATTCTTAAATCCTGTCACTTGTAAGAACAAATGAACTTCCTAAAATTTTACCAGCATGTAAACAGACACAGAGCAATCGATATGAAACTTTATAAACACTGAAATAACAGATCGGTAATGGAGGGACAAAATCAGTAAGGAATCTAAATTAATTCAAGCCCTCTGACTTCTCAGGGTTTGCTACAAAACTGAAGCAGGTTTCTGTTACCAAAGTGGTAATTCCTGTTCATGTGTTTGACTGAGATTTGGTGTGGTCTCTATAAATGGGATTATTTACTGTAGGACTGCAATTATCTCCTGCTAATCCTCCCTTATCTGCTCACGGTGAGCAGGGAGATACTGGGGACACTGCGTGGCACAAAGCTCCTGGCACTGCTCTGGTCACAGAACAGCTGCTGAATTAAACAAGTTACCCTAGAACAGGCATGCAGACATGTTACCAAGTATAGGATAAAGATGCTGTGTTAATAAACTAACTGGCAAAAACTTAAAGTTTCTTTTTTTTTTTCATTTTTCAAAGTAAAAAAAGTTAGCAGTTGCTGTGAGCCTGCAGCTCACCTGGGATGCACAGCACAGGAATTCTCTGTCCCTGACCACATCAGCAGAACCTGCAACTGCAGCCTGCCCAACCTGCAAACCCAAACCATTAAATACTGGTCAAACTCCACACCATAATGAAGTTAAACACAGATGTTAATCTTGAAACTGGGATGAGGGTTTGGCATTTCAATTAAATTCAGTTGTTACATGGCCTAATATTATTAATATTTGTTATTTAAGCTGGTACTTATTCATAATGAAATGTAACAAAAGAATAGCTGCATTAAAGATAAATATTTTAAAAGTATTTAAGTTTTTATGAGGCTTCCAAGTATTAATTATAAATGACAAAAAAAAGTGTGAACAGTGCATAAATGGCAACTGTGATCATTGTAATGAATCATAAAAATTAATAGTACTTACTGTAATGACTCTAGTAATTATTAAGAGTTAAACCAAATAGTTCTAATAACCTAAGGAAAGTTAAGAGAAATGTATTTGACAGTTAATTTTTTTCTGATTTTTAAGTACTCTACAAATATGAACTTTCCTAAGTAACACAGTTGTGCTTTATTGAAGATCTAATTAAAATCAAAGTCGTGGGTGTGGATTGGATCTGGTGCTACATGGAGGATCACAAACTTCCATGGGAACTCCTGCAAAGCTGGTTAAAGAAAACAGATCCCACCTGCATTCAAAAAAGAATCAGCTTAAGGTCACAGAAGGTTTTGCATTGTCAGTATGTGGGTCCTTCACACTTCTGTGCCACCCTGTTCCTGCTTCATTCTTGCCATGCAGTTCTGTCTGCCCAGCTAACTGAGCTGAGAAAAACTCAGACAAAAGATCAGTTTCTAATTACCAGCAGTATGAGGCATAAAAATTTGTGCTTTTCCACCAAATTGCGTCATGCATTCTGTTGCATCATTAATTTGATTAGAAACTAAAGTGTTTGCAGAAAGGAGATTTAGTCCATGTACCTTGTACTAAAAAATCATTGCCTTTCATCTGCTCACCTCAGCAAATTATAAACACTGAAATTCAGGCAGCTCTCAGTGATACTGAGGGATAAACTTGCCCAGATCAGTCTACAATTCTGTGAGTAAAGCTGGAAAAAACAAATGCAAGGGGAAACAACACACCCATTCTTTAATAAATAACTGAAATTAGCTGTTTTTTGCCACTCTGTTATTACCTGTATGTAATAAACCAGGTGAAAATTGCCTCTAACTTTCCCTCTTTGCAGTGGTATTTAAGTTACACAGTAGAAACTGCAGCAAGAAGAAACATGAGCACAGAAGGGCTCCAACAGCTTCCAACCAGCATCTTTACAACCTTTCCAACTGGAGGTAGTCCCACACTTTGAACTGCCCAGTTACAGCTACTGAGGGCAAGGAAGACCAGTCTGTTTGTGCATCATTTGTCCATCATGTTGAGGATCCATTTAATGAGTTGTTTCTGTTCTGTGTTCTCTCGGTGTTGCTGTTTCTGTCCCATCTAAAACAGGAACGATCTCACTGGCACAGTGTTCATTTTTCACAGTAGAGTCATCTGGGAATAATTTCAGGGTAACTTTGAAAAAAAAAAATAAATATTGGGAGGATTAACCAGAAAGACAAGTAAATATTTCAATAAATTGAACAAGTATGCAATTTAATTTAGTGGAGAAAATGCTGCCAATATGCAACTACAGCACATCTTTTATCTTGAACTTTACTTGGGGAAATGAATATATCTTCTGTTGAATATTACATTACAAGCCATGTTACTGAGTTTGGTATTCTCATCAGAGGAAAACGAAGCATTTTTTAACTGGAAATTTAATTATCATATGCATCCTTTTTCTTTTTTAATTATTAGCAACAGCAAATCACTGACAGCCCCCAGTCTCACAAGTCATCATCTGCAAAGCCACACTGAGAATCCCACAGGCCTCTTCAAGTTGCACAAGAAATGGACAGTGATATATAAATACTTGCAAAAAAAGTTTTGGAACACCACAGAAATTTCTAGGTTTTGTGTGAGTCAATTAATAATTGAATATTTGCATGAGCAACATCTGAAGATACATTAGCACAGCTCTAGAAAATCAAGCTTTCAGATGAAGGTATTTACAAGAGACCAAAAAGAAATTGTTTGCATGTAGGAAAACATTAATAAGCAGCAAAATCTAATTACTGCAAGAACATAAACACTGCAGCTGTAACACTTCTCTCTAACCATACCATTACAGCCTCACCAGTGAAAACAGAAGTGTCAATGCTAATGTAAACTCAGCTGCTGATATATATTCATTAGATTCAGAAAAGCTCCAACATTTTTTCCTCGCACCACGTCAAATTTTCTCAGTGCAGATACACTACTAATACAAAGGGTGAGGTTTAGGGACACCTAGGCCTAAGGTGTATCTCCATTCTTGTCTCTTACTCCACAAAAATCATCTGAAAGCATTGCTAAAAAGGGGATTTAGGAACTCGAGCAGGGAGCAGCCCAGGGTGGTACCTGTGCAGAGACCCAACTCGCATGACAAGAATTTCTGACACACAATAAAGTCTATTCTCAAGTATTCTTCCATTATTAGCTTCACTCTGAAACAGCAATTAAGCAGCAGGGAAGATTCAATGCCTTAGTCTTTTAGTCTTGATTCTAATTTACATGATTAAATTCCAACTTAGTCACTGATTACCTTCTGGCTTAGCATGCTTCGGGTTCTCAGGGATTTTATTTTTGCCTTTTCTTCCTTTTCTGGGTGTAGCAGTTTTTTCCCTCACCAATCCACAATTTTCAGCACGCTTACACGTATTACTCTGTTAGCATAATGAAGAACAAATATATCAATCAAATATTAATCTATGTAAGCAATTTAACAGACATAAAGCAAATATGGCTCTGACAGACAAATTCTGGAACACTTAGTGGAAGACTGACTTAACAACTTCCATGAAACTCCTAAAAATTTTCCAGAATATATATTAAAATTCTGCTTTAAAAGAACATTGCCATTTGGTGGGTATAAAATAAAATTTATCATCTTCTGGTTTCTGGATAAGCAATAAAATCTCACATGTAAAATCTGTATGTAGAAAAAGGGTCACATTTACTTTAAAGTGTGCACGGGTAACCCAAAAAGAGAATATTTTCTCATTTCATATAGTTTTGGAGTGAGCAGTAATTTCTTACTTTCCTTGTGAACAGGTCCTAGTTATCCTAAAAGTACTCTTTAAAATAAAATTTTCACTTCAGACTGAATTTATTCTGCATCACTACTGAAAATCACATTTCAGGCTCAAATGCTACATTTTGTTCTTTATCACAACATCCCTGAAAGTGACTGCTCTTACTTCACACTTCTGAGCAGTCCATGTACAAAAGATTTATCAAGAAGATAGACTCATCTTTCCAGAGTATCAATTTCCATTTGTGAAAGATTTACCCTGGAAATAAGCACCTCTGCACTATTTTAGTTGGACTGCAGTCACAAAAGTTTTTATTTTCTTAATGTAAATATAACCCCAAAGCCAACTGTGTCTCTCACATCACCACCAGAGCGAGCAGTGTTCTCCCAGGAACTGAAATACCTGGTTACACGTGCAGCTGCACTGGGCACACCTGAATGTCTCCTCACTCCTGTGAGCCTTCCTGTGCTGAAGGAAAGCGTAGCACTCGTGGAAAGCTGCCCCACAGTCCCTGCACTTCACTGCCTCTTCCATGTAGGAGTGCAGATTCCTCAGGTGGACACCTGGACAGTTATTCAAAACAACTCATTTGAATGGCAAGGTTTTTAGTTTTGGAGTTTTGAACAAGAGTCGGGCTCTGTATTGTGGCAAGCACATTTCTCTCCCTCTCAGGATTTTTCATAGAGGTGTACAGAGAGAAATGAAAGAAAATACAATTTCTATTTCTGCTCCCTGTTTTTCCTATGTGGAATGTGTTTGGAGAACTGTTTACCTGGAGTGCTTGGTTGGATTCTGGTGAGGATTGTTTAAGCCTGGTGGCCAATCCAACCCACCTGGGGCTGGACTCTCAAGAGGGTCACGAGTTGTGGGAGAGTTAGAGTCCGAGAAAGTAGTATGTAGTTTTAGTATCTTCCTTTTATATAGTATATTGATATATTTTAGCATAGTTATAATACAGAAATCATTCAGCCTTCTGAATTGAGTCAGACATTGTCATTTCTTCCCATTGAGTTCGCCTGCATTTACAATAGTGTATGTAATGTAAATCTTGCAGAGGAAAGCAAAAAAGAACCTTCCATGCCCTCTGCAGGGTCTGATTTTAGTTGTCTAAAACAGAAAAATTAGTTTAAGATTAAACAGAAGCTGCAGAAAGATGTTGTAACTTCCCAAAGAAATCAAGCAGTTATAAGCCTGAATCTGACTTCCGTGGAAAGCGTTTAACAAATCAAATACTTTAAAAAAAAAATCCAGTTTTAACACAGAATTTTCATGTATTTCTGGAAACTTAAAATTCTATATAGGCTTTTTTGTTACTGATCAGCTCTACTGCCACCAACACTTCTGATAAAATAGAAGGTCACAGTGCCACAGGTATCAAGCAAATAATAAAAAAGAAAAAGCTAAATGTTTGCTACTTTGCATTTTAAACAAATTAAAACATCAACCACAAGGTGTCACCACATCTCCTTGCAGGAGGAATTTACCTGTAAAACTACAACTACATTTCACTTGAAATGTATTCTGTGATAATATGAAGTCAGCTATAACATATTTGGTGAAATTTTCTGAAAATTATAGATTTCACTTCTACTTGTCTCTACATTTTATTTTCAGTGTTTTCCTTTAAACTCACCCAAATCTCTTTTTCGGGAAAGGAAAGTACTACAATGTGGACATTGGTGTTTTGGCACATTTTCTCCATGCTTCTGTAACACATGGATTTTCATGGTACCACTTTGAGTGAATCTGGCTTGGCAAATGTAACATTCATAGCGTTTTTCACCTATCAAAAAGAAATTAAAACAACATATGCTTAGAAACTACTTATTTGATATAAATTCAAATTCCCACAGAATTCAACATCCATGTTCTAACAACAACAGTCTCCACACCAACCAAAAGTTAATATTGGTTGACGGTGCACAAAAGGCCAAACAAGTCTCCAGAATTTTACATAACTGATTGCAACACAAAATCTCGGCTTTCTGAGTCCACAAGTCAAACTGCTGAAGCATAAAGCCATTTATATAATTCTAAACTAGGAATCAGGGATTATTTTAAATTATCATCTATTCTTCCTTGAATACTTCATGTACAAAAGTGCAGAATTATCTTCAATTATGCAAGGAGAGAAAGTCAACAGCAGTAAAACATCATGATAGGAGTGGCACCATCAGCCATTGATAATGGTGGGAACGGAAATTAGGAAATTATTTTCTTGCCTTTTTTACCCAAAAAGCCAAATCAGGTGTGACTAGCATTAAAAATTGGAAACTGGCACAGCTTTGAACCAACTCCAGACTGGTTCTGTGAAAGAAGTCCCTGCCAGGAGTGGGTAACACTCTTGAATTGATACCCACTGCCCCTGAGATGACTTGCTTGTTACAGAGTTATGACAAGAACACACTGCTTTCAATATTAAAGCAATTTAATTCTTTGTTGACCAGATTAGTTGCTGGCAATCTGGAGTCACAACAATATCCATGTTCTGAACATATATTTTAAAATCTCTCATAGATACCTCTCCATGTAAAATCAACTAATTGAGAATTAAAAGTGACAACTTGACACAAAGAAAATGAAATCTTTTTCTAATGTAAAAGAAATTTAGGAGGAACAGCAAGACTAACTCGTGTGATTCCAACTGCCAAACCTAGAACACTGAAAGAGAACACGTTTTTACTCCAAATCACAAATTTAAAAAAGGGCTAATTTTGAGGCTGAAATGAGATTGCTCTAACCCTATGAATATTAAGGAGCTGAGGCCCTGGAGCTGATCATTAGCCCAGAATCCCACCTGTGTGAGTTAACATGTGCCTTTTCAGTTGGTAGGCATCTTTGCTGGCATAGCTGCACAGGTGGCAGGGGTAGGGCCGCTCTCCCGTGTGCGAGCGAACGTGGCGCCTCATCTTGCTGGCCTCAGACAAGAATGAGAGATTTTCTAAAGTAACATCTACATTAGCCATATATTTCATTAAAATGTAAGCAATTTTACATACTGTACCTACTGCAATTGAAACATTGCATGAATCCCAGAATTAGCACTCTCACGTCTGTGTTTTTCCCTGCACAATCAGCCTGTTGTGGTTTTAGGACACTTCTGCACTCTTTCCCCATACTATCTTACCTTCATATTTAGTGTCCACATTAGCAAAACAGGCAATTTTATAATAAAAACAAAAAGGATAAAATTTTAAAAAGAGGATGCTTACTACTGTCAGGCTACTTGGATATACCAAACATAAAATTATTTGAAAATACTCAGGAAAAGAAATGGAAGACCAAACTCATTATCCAGAGTCTATTCACCTTCAAGTACCAATGAAGTACCTTAGTTACAAAGTTTAATTCAATTCTACTTTTTTAATGCTGTTTTTCGGATACGTTCTACATAAATATTGTAGGTATGTGATTAGGAGTTATCAAGTGTTCAGTTCCTCCATTTATGAACACAATTAATGAACTCACTGCTAGATTCCTTTAAATCTACACTACTATTCACTTAAATAAAATTAAACATGACTGCCAACCTTTGATACAAAAAAGTCAAGTAATTTGCATGGCAGCACTGGAGAGCTCTTTCAGCTGTCTTCATTCAGGTAAAACTTACAGGACTGTGAGTTCTGTAAGAGCAGTGAATGCTGAATAGCTCCTTATTGAAACAAGGGAAAGAATATGGTAATTTACTATCAGCTGTCAGGCTTTTTAAAGATGCAAGCTATCAAAAATCTAATTATTAAGATAAGGTGCATGTAATAAAGTTCAGGATTGCTTACAGCTTTAGATCTGGACACAGCACAAATTCAGATACTGAACACCCACTAAACTGTGACAGTGATTCAATCACAGGTGAATTTATGAAAGCCTGTGCACCCAATTCAATTGCAATTTCCAAGTGCACCCTTAAGCAGGCTCTAAGATATTTTATTCTTGATGAAGAAAATTCTAGTCCTGGAAAAACCCATACATCATCAAGTATATAAACACAATTAATGAACTTCTTTTTAGACATTAGCTAGTATTGTCCTACAGGACATGGAACTTAGTGTAAATGGGGACAAAAATTGCTTTTGTGGGACCAAAATCACATAAACACATTGTCCAGCAGCAATTTTAGAATAACAAAAGAGAAAAACCTCTTATAATGCAACTAGTTAAAAAACCCTTAAATAATTGCATGAATATTAATTTGGAACGTTTGCAAATACTACATGGACAAAGTAAGGGTTCCAGGAATTCAGATTACTTGTTCCTTTTTTGTAGGATGATGGGGTTGAAAAGATGTGCACACAAATGAAATGTAATGCAATGTAATATAATGTAATGAAATGAAATGTAATGAAATGTAATGAAATAAATGCATGGCACCACACAGTTGTAGCCCTCAGCCACCTTGCAGTAACGCTGCAGCACCATAACAGATAAACACAATCCATCAGTGTGTCCAAGGCCATCAGCAGAGCCTGGACTTCTCATGGTTAAAAATCTGGGCAAAAATTGTATGTACATCAAAATCTTGGCACATGAAAACCTTCACACCCTCCCAAAAGTTTCAGTAAGGCTGTACTTACTTCTACACTAGAGTATTCACATATTGTGCACTTGAAAGGCTTCTCCAAAGTGTGTTTGTACCTCCTGTGTCTTGAAAGCTCCCCTCGGGTCACAAAGGCTGCGTCACACTCACTGCATTTATGGGGCTTGTTCCCTGCAACAATACACATGAGACTTTTATTCAACACCACAGCAATGTGATTTGCCTGCCTTGCATCAACATGCAGAATTTTTAAATAGAACCTTTTCTGATATTCTGATTTTTTACATACAATAAATCATAGAATGATTTGGGTTGGAAGGGGCCTTAAAGCTCATTTTTTTCCATCCCCTGCCATGGGCAGGGACACCTTCCTCTATGCCAGGTTGCTCCAAGCCCTGGCCAACCTGGCCCTGGACTCTTCCAGGGATGGGGCAACCACAGATTCTCTGGGCAACTTGAGCCAGTGCCTCACCACCCTCCCAGTAAAGAATTTCTTCCATATATATGTACACAGTAAATTTATTATAAACACAATTTATCACTTTGCTTCATATGTTTATATAGCAAAATGAAAACATCACAGAAAATTCTATTCTGCATGTAGGACTGAAGCACAGCTGACAAGAATTGTAAGAATGGTACTTAACAAAATAAACAAATACACACACACAGAGTCCCTAACTACAGACCATGTCTTTTCAGTGTGGAATGCCACAGAAAATCAGAGGAATTTCTGAGCATAAAATGATCACAGAACACAGCTCTAAGGCAAAGGCACTTGCCTGCTAATTCAGTTTTGAAGACAGTAAGTAGCACAAAGTATTTTCAAGCCTCAGGTACCTGTATGTGCGTTCACATGGTTATGCAGCAGAGCTGCTGTATGGAAGGCCTTCGGGCAGAGGTGACACGTGTGACGTTTCTCATCCGAATGGGATCTCAAATGACACCTACGACTTGATAACTTGGCTGAGGTGAATGTGTGGAAAAAAACAGTTGAAACAAAGATACATTTACACTGTACATGCCACAAAACAATTACTTTACTTTTTCAAAAAATGGTAACGATTTCCAAAGAGTCCCTTTAGTCTGGTTAAAACTATTTTGAAATTCTACATCAAAGGATTCATTAAGACTTAAGTGATTTGCCCCTAGAATTGTATTGTTACTGATAGAGTTTAGAATCTAATCCCAGGAAAACTAACTCCTACCCTTGCCCTCACCACCATGACAAGATGAGATTTCCTCTCTCAGTACCATCTTTAAGACTTATAACCTGTGCAACAAATTTCTTGATAACAACTGTGTAATTAACACTAAGTAAGTTTATGCAAGGATTTGGAAATGGCAGGTTAAGCTATTCCCAGCTTTCTGGTGCTCCTGAATCTGTAAAGTGCATATAAAAAAAAATCATGATGTGAAAGCCTCTTTAAAATTACAGGTTGAATTTGAAGGGAAAAAATCAGTTCTTTGGAGAAATCATAGGATAAAGTTCGGGGCACAAGAATAATGAATTTCTTTTGAGGCTAACAAGTTAAGATTAAATGTGCAACACTTCCAGTTATGAAGAAGATTTGAAACTGTGAAATGGCAAATACGTCATATTTGAAGAGTCTTTCCAGAACAGTTGTCTCAGCTCCCAAGTGTGCTCTCTGTAATGATTTTCATGCTGAGACCAAAATGCATTTTATACAATGCTTTATACCACACAGAGATGTGCAGATAGCACTTCACTTCAGTAAAAGCAAACAAAACCACTTTATTGTCATTTACTCATTACGGATTCATGCCCACACAAAGGAACATTGTTAGCTTTGTTAAAACTGCTCAAATGGTGCTTCCTCTAAAAGCTGTAACTGAAACAGGGGACATTAGCAATTTGTACAGTATCCATAGAGAACCCCAGCCAAGATACCTTAACTTCCAGATACAACACACACATTTACAGACTCAACATCATTGATGTCATCCAATTTTTACAGTACACACACAGTTTCTAGGGAAACAGATGCTTATCTGTTCTCTTCTGAGTCAGTCCTTAACTTCTGTAACATACTTTCAGATTTCTAACATCTTAAATCAGCCATTTTCTGTTACTCTTATTTAGGCTCTGGGAAAGGCTTTGCTGACAGGTATTGATTGATTGGTAAGTGCCCACCACCCTCTGCTAGCAATGTGGAATCACTCTAAGCTCAACCATAAACCCTCAAACAAGCACATTTTGAAGCTGAATGAGTGGATCAAGACACTAAATAAATTACTAGGTTTATTCAAAGGCACTTATACAATATTAACTTTGAAATCTCCCTGGAGGTTTCAAATACCACACACTCTTCAAAAGACCATTAATTTCTAAATCCCATCCAAAATGTCTCTCCTGAACACAAGGCAGATGACATCAGCCTGAACAAGATCTTTGAGCACTTAGAGATGAAGGTATTATTTCTTCTTCCAAATTTCCACAGAATGTTAAGACTTAACCTAATCTAAACAATTACCACTGTGAGTATTTAATGCAAAACTTCAACCTCACTTCAAAATCTTATTTAACATGGCTTATCTAAAACTTAACTACAAAGATTATTAACTTTTTACCTTTTTCCTGATGTGGAGCACAAGCCTCAAATTTTAGATTCCTGAGATTTTCTGATGCAGTTGGATATTCCTGCTCTTCACTTTCATTGAATAAGTCTGACAAATCATCACCCCCTTTGCAGCTCTGACTCTCTGTTTCCTCAACTGTGGAAAAAAATTCCTTTCCTTCCCCCTCTTCAGATGGGCTCAGTTGCTGGATGTTATTTTCAAATGCAATGGCATCATTATCTCTGTCAATCTATTTTAAAAAGGAATATGTTTTACAACTTTCTCAATTAAAGGCAATTGCTAGCAGCAAATCAACTGAGCAGTCAACAAAATGCAAGCCACCAATTCGTTCTGATTTTCAGTCTTACATGTGATGGACAAAATTTGCATTTAGCATACAGCAGCCTAACTGGCAAGTTACAATTAAGTAAGAATAATTACTAAAATTATGCTCTCCCTCTTCAAAATTTTATATAAAATTTCAGAGAATCATTTTAAGACTGCAGCACTGAGAACGCAGAAACACGTATCTTTATATTTGAAAAGATTTTAAATTTCATTTCAGTACTTTTAAAAGAAATGAGATGTATACCCCGGTTTTTAACAAATTTAGGACTTCTGCAGGCTAATTGTAATGCCTTCTTTGTCATATAGCAATTAACCAGGTTGTGATACTTCTTGCATTAGCTAGACTCAAATACGGCAATATGACCTACCTCAGAAATTATCTAGTGATGCATGAATTTTATAAGAAAAAAATGTAGCATTTAATTGTAAAACCAATATAATAGCTAGCACAGAACAAAAGAGAAGTGTTGCATGTCCTTTTTAATAAAATTAATTTCAAATAGGACTGTATTACATAACCAGCTTTAACAATGACTGAAGGATTGAACTTAATTGAATTAAGGAGAAAAAGGGAAATTCTGTAATGGCACTTAAGAGATGGAGGCTATCAAACAAATAGTGCCAATCTGATGAATTAAATTAAAAACTTGTCTGAATTTCAACAGTTAAATATCATCTCGGTATCTTCTTGATAATCTGGGTCTTCCAATTTAGAATATTCTCTGAAATTAGAAAGTCTAAACTTCTAGTTTGTCCTTTTAGAAATGAGACAAAATCATAAAAAGATGTACAGGGGATTGGATACGTAATCCCAAAAAATAATATTAATGCTTAAACCAGAAACAAATTGGTGTGATAGTAGAAGCTACCAGGGAACAACATATCTCTAATTGCACCTTATCCAGAACTTGTACCTCCATCAGGAGCATGTCTGGTGGTTTCTCTGTCACCTGGCTGCCTGCAATCATTTCTTGCCCTTCTTTTTGCAATAGACGGATCTGTGCCAGCTCCCAGTCATGGAACGCCATGAATGTCATGGTACCGGGCTGAGCCCGGGCAGTGTCCCGGCCCCAGCAGGGCCCTGCGGGTTCCCTGCGCACACAGGGACACGGATCAGGGCTCCCTGCACACGCAGGGACACGGATCAGGGCTCCCTGCGCACACAGGGACACGGATCAGGGCTCTGCGGGTTCCCTGCACACACAGGGTCACGGATCAGGGCCCTGAGGGTTCCTCGCACACAGGGACACGGATCAGGGCTCCCTGCGCACACAGGGACACGGATCAGGGCTCCATGTGCACACAGGGTCACGGATCAGTGCTCTGAGGGTTCCTCGCACACACAGGGACACAGATCAGGATTCCTTGCACACACAGGGACACGGATCAGGGCTCCATGTGCACACAGGGACACGGATCAGGGCCCTGAGGGTTCCTTGCACACACAGGGTCACAGATCAGGACTCCTTGCACACACAGGGACACACTCCCTGCACACACACCCAGCTGTGGGCTCAGTGTTCTTCCCCTCCTGGGCACACAGGGCCACTCCTGTGTGTCCCCTCCACCTGCGCTCCCCGGCCCTGCTCGGGTCAGCCTGGCCTCGCCTCCCTTTCGTGCCTTGGCTCTCCTTCAGCCGTAAGGCCCCACAGGCCGCGGAGCGATGCTGTTTGAGGTTAAACGTGACCCTTTCGTGCCTTGGCTCTCCTGCAGCCCTAAGGCCCCACAGGCCGCGGAGCGATGCTGTTTGAGGTTAAACACGAGGGCACACCACAGGCGTTGAGGAGCAGCCCCAGCCCTGCTCCTGGCCGGGTCCCCCTGGGCTGTTGGGCCAGGCCCGCGCTGCCCGCAAGGGGAGGCGGCAGGGAAGGGGCTCAGCACCCGCTGTGCACCTCGGCATGGCCGTCCTCTGCCTCCCTGTGCTGCTGTGGGAGGCCGCTCGTGGGTAGCAGCTTTTGGGGAGCAGCTGCTTCTCATCTGTTAATTCCCTATAAAACACAAAGCCCCGAACCTGCGCAGGTTTCCCTCCAAATGCACCAGGTGCTCCTCGGTCTCCACGCGCGGCAAGTCCTGACAGAGCATCTGCCGTTTTCTCACCCCCTGAGTGAAGATGAAGATCTCTCGGCCTTAATTGTAGGCTCTTAACCTTCTGCTCCCACTTGGCTGGAGACCACGGGGCTGAGCTCAATTGGTTTCTCCATTTGGGAAATGTCTGAAGCACTTGCTGTGTGTCTGTGACGGAAAGCCTCCAGCCAGGAGCCCCGTGCTGGAGTGCTGCTGAAGGGCCGCCTGATGCTGCCGCCACACAAGTGTTGTACAAAATTGGCTCAAGTGGCTTTGCAGAGGCAGTGGAGCGATGTATAAGCATCATTACACTGTACCTTAGGCCAGGATTGGTTATTCGGTGAGAACAAGCTGAAATACTTCTTTCTCCAAAGGCATTGTGAAAATGTCTTTGAGGTAAACTTGCACTTTTTGAGTGACTTAACATTTAATCTTGTGTACCCTTCTAGACTAGTAATTTCCAGCCATCAAACGTTTTATAAAACCCACTTACTTTGAATACTCTACATGCCAGTGCAGACGTTAGATTTGGAGCTTTACCTCTAAATATTAGCTTGGTGCATTGCAGGGCACAGTACATTGCACAGGGACTGCAGCCCAGTGTGGTCTGGATCCTGTTAAACTGAATTATCAAACACTAACCAAACCCCCAAACTAAGTGGTGGCTTTCCTTGTCTGTGGAAGTAACCCAGTACAATTGGTATTTATGAAATATCTGTAGCACAAACAGCAGCCCACTCCACTGGCCTTTGAGCAGTACCCTCAGATGAGGTGGGGTTATTAGACCTCATCCTCAGAGACATCAACTGAAAATCCCAAATCCTTGACAACACTTGACTCCTATCCACACTTCTGTAAAATCTTAAATGCAAAAATAATACAACATGGTTACATTTAACAACTGCAAGTTAGTCATAACTATTCTACTGCTTGGAATCAACACAAATCCAAAGCAATTATTTAAGGCTGAATATCTATTCCAGCAATTTAGTGCTGATATTTTGGCTAGACACCACATTATTCATCATCCACAAATCCATGGGCTCTCAAAACTAAAGAACAGGATGCGGAGTACACAATGTATTCACATAATTAGGCTGCCAGTAACTGTGGCCAGAGATTTCACTTCTTACAGATTTCTACATCTTTTCAAGTTGCTCCATATACTGTGCAATTATGATAGTTGAAGGGCACTGTAGGAAAAAAGTTGTTATAACAATGCACCATCATTTAGGTTGTTTTAATGAGGTTTTCTGCACTTCAGCAGTCATGAGCTTCTAAGAGCTGTCCTGCCTTGCACTTCTGCATTATTAATACCAGCACCATCCATGCAGCTACAGTAAAGGTCTGTCATTATTTCCATTATTAACCGATATTTCCAAGGATTTATAGCTCAAATGCAGAACAGCCCTTCAGTTCAGTTTTTGCTGAATTTAAAGGAACCACTTGGATCAGCAATCTACGAATTCAACCAGTTTCTGAGTAGGTTTTGACACACTAGAGGTTAACAGCTCCATAATGGCCATTATGGTGTGTTGTGTGAACAGTCTCCAGTTACTGCTGCTGCTGCATTGTCTATCTCTAGCTGCAATCAAGCTTCTGTCTACTCCTCTGGGAGTCTGGTTCTTTCTAACACATCAACAGCCTGCATGAAAAGTCTATCATGAAAGAATAGAGATGTATTTTATTTTTCAAGTAATAATTATTCTTTGCGGGATAAACACTCAAAATGAATTATTGTTTGTTAGGAGTATTTCATAAGGAGCATAAGGAATTTAATGTAGGCACATTTTCTTGTGCTTAAGTAACATCACATAAAGAAACAAAATTCAGCCACAAAATTGCAGATAAGTTGCTGATAAGAATCTACCAGTGCATGAAAGTAAATACATGGACAAGTAAAATCCTCAATCAGCAGAATAAATTTCCTTGGCTGCACTAAAGAAACACAGCAAACTTTATTCTGATCTGTGGCTTTCCACCCAAGTATAAACAGTGCAGCTGATTTTTTAAAGTAAAATACTGGGTTATCTGTTCAGATTGTCAGTCTTAAATCTGAATAATGTCTTTTATAATATTTAAGATATTTAATGCATGCTAGGTGGAGCTGCCTTTTTTAAAAGCTCCATTTTACCACATACATAAAGCATATTTGACCTTGAATGCAGTTCAAGGTTTGCTTCCCTTACTGTGTTTCAGAAACTCACTTTGGATGACTGCAGAGGCTGTTTATCCATCCTCTCTAATGATGCTTTGCACCTCCATCACAGGTTCTAAACTTCAGTCCTCTGATGCCAATGGAAGGATTGCCATCAACTTAACAGGGCTTGGAATTAGGCCCAGAATAGATAACTATGTGAAGCAGTGACAGTAGGATTTATTTACACATTTTTGACCTGTCCACAAACTGCAGAGTAAATCAGGAATGCTGCAGTGCACTTGAAAGAGAAAAAGGAAAAATAAAGAGACCAAAGCATAAAACCCCAAAACAAATAGGTTCATATTTAACCTCCAATGCTCATAATTGTTTCATTTATGACACTTCACCTTGTAGTTGAAACCTCCATTCTTCTCCAGAACATGACTCCTGTTAGTCTAGAAGAAAACCCAGTCTTTGTTGTGACTTATTTTGACAGCTTTAATATCATTTTCCACCTGGCATCTGGAACGTTTTCCATTTTCACTTTCCACCAATGTCTCACTTTTGTTTCCAAGTAAGTGTCACGTTCACACCGCACCTGTCAGCGGTGTGTGCGCCTCAGCACCGGGCTGCAAACACGCACGCCTTCCCTTTCCTCCTACCCCGGGGACAATCACTACCTTCAGCACCTCTTTTGCAGTGAGATATTGCCCCTCTTAATAATGACAGCACCAGATAACCTCCTTCAACACCATCACCGGCTTCAGAGAGAGCAGAGATACTTTTACAATCTTCTAATTCATCTGGCTCCTTTAAATGTTGCCCAGGTCTTGAAGCTGTCACTAAATTGTTGAAGTCTTTTTGCTTTATTTTCTGGTGCTCCTTGTTCCTCTAGTGTCCCACTTTCACAAATAGGAAGCATTTCTTCAGAGACCACCAAAAACCTTAATTAAAAAAAAAAAAAAAAAAAAAGAAAAAAGGAAGCCTATCAGCTAATGAGTGAGATAAAAAGTTATGTTCTTTTTGATGCTGTTTTAAGCAACTGAATCTTGCAGATTCAGAATTAAGTCAGCACTTCAGTGCTGGCCTGGAATATTCTCTGGAGAAAATATACAGTTTGATCACTTGGAAAGAAGAATATTATTAATTTTTTTTTTCCCCTCAGACCTCTGGTTCAGAGGTGGAAGCTACAGTTTATTTTAGCAGCCATCACTTAGGATTTAGATTTGACTTGGATTTCTTGCCTGCCCCAAAGAACACAATTCTCTGCTCCCTATTGCTACAGTCATATAAAAAACTAGTCAAACCTCAGACCCAGGAACATCAGAACATACAGTCCTACTTGTTTCCTTGCTGAATCCCTGAAGCAGAGAGAAGATGGGAGCACAGCAAAGCAAAGCCAGATGGAAATCATGCTGGAGGGTATTGATTGACTAGTGTCTAGGCAGGCTATAAATTACCACTTCTCATGCAAAGAGGAGGGTGAGCAGAGCTGCAGAGCTGTCTCAGGGCACAGTGCTTGGACTGTGCTGTTCATGTAGGATCAGCTAAATTCAGGCTGTGCCTAAGGCATGGGGAAAGCCAGGCTTTGCTCTCTCTCCAGTGCTCATCTTGACTTGGAGGAGACAATTTCTGTAAATATGAGTGATTCTTTCAGCAGAACAAAAGCAACTCCTATTAAGTTAAAAGACTTAATGCTTTCAAGTATTGTCTGTGCTCTTAAAATCCTGTTTCATACTGTAAATTATTATAATTATATAGCGTGACAAAAAACCAAGACCTAACAGAGTACAAATGTGGGATATATAATAGGGAAAGTATTTCACATAAACTTATTGGACCTGAAAGTACCAGGGATGATTGATTGCCTAGACACAAGTCATGGAAGCGGTCTAAAAATTATTAACCATAATTGCAATTTGTCTATTAACTGTTTCATCTAACATTATGATATATTTAGAAACAATCCTGCCATCCACTAATACACAATTTGCTCCTTGTGGCAAACAGCAGAGCTGCGTGCCTGGATCTGTTTGGAAGATGGATGTTTATTGGGAAGCAGATCACTTATTCCATTTCAAAAGACATTAGTGTGGTTATACAGTTAACTACACCTCAGTGGTTTCCACTGTTTTTACAGAATACTCTTTAATCCAACAGATAGCAAAGAAAGTTTTTAATACAACTCGCCTTAGTTAGTTATTACAGGTTTCTGTTGCTCTTTGTGCAGGGGTGGAAGAGTTAAAAGTTGAAAAGGCAGAAAGTTTTCCTCTTGTTTTGACTAAACTGGGGGAAACGTGCTGGAGCTGTGCAGAATTTGATTGCCAAACACAGATAGAAGATACACAGTGAGAAAAGATAGTAAAGGTTTAACCCTGCTGATGTAAGAAACAAACTCCAAGGATGCCCATGTTTCCTTCTTTTATCACACTGTTAATCTTTAATCAAGAAAACAGTTCTGAGAACAGCTCTTTGTGCACAGCTGAACAGACACCAAAACTTGGAAGTTAATAGGATCACTGAAGAATGAGACTATTAAATGATTGTCCTAATAAATCTGTGAGTGAGATGTACAAACCCAGAGGAGTTCAAATTCTGCTTCCAAGTGCACCAAGTACACGTTAAACCTTGCAAAATCAGCAGTAAGGAGGCAGGTGGTGGGTTCAGAAGAGCAGCGGGCTCCTGTGCACATTTTTCCAGCTCAGATGACAAATCCTCTTGGGCATTCCTCTTCCTGAGGACTCCAAATCAACTTCTTAATTCAAAAATCTAAAGAAATCAAGAAAATTTAAGGTTGTATTTAACAACTTGTATCTTAGTGACACATCACTGAACAGCAGGCAGTGTAGTCCATGACATTTATCAGCAGAAATACCTTAAATCTTAGTTTTCAGCACTACTACAATCTTGAACCGTCACTTAAAGTCCACAACCAGATAGCCCTGGGCCTCTCCATCAGGAGTTGGTAACAGAAATATGGTATAGCAGGCTTAGTTGTACATCTTTTCTGCTCCTGTAAGAAACAAAGTCAATCTTATAGTTCTTGTAACTTAAAACATCAAGATGAGGCAGTGTCTAGAAAGCAGATGAGAATACCTGGGTGACACGTTTTGTGAATCATGGTTATTACTCCATTCTGAGCTGCCTCTACAAACTGAAACTCTCTTGATCTGTCATTCATATCTGTCTTTTGTTTAAGGTTTTCTGGGCAGAGAATATCTATGCTTCACCTAAAATAAAAAGGTACTTCGTGCTATTTAGAGAAAATAACTGAACTCTACAAGGTTAGCAAGTGTATAGGGTTTTTAATTTTATTTGTAGAATGCAAGTTGGTTGCCATTCATTTGTACCTAGTGGTTTAAGCACACATATAAGAAACTTCTCTTTACATAAACAGTATTCATATGCATATATATCATCCTGAATCAGTAAATTTGGAGACAGTTACAGATGGTCAGTCAAAGATGCACATATAGCAGTTAGACTTCTGTCTTCCTAAAAGCATAAGAAAAAAAGGCATGATTTCCAGGGTCCAGTTGATCTCCTGGTCTCTTTACTGAGTGTTGTTTGTAGAAATAATCATAATCGTGGCATTTGTCTGGTAGGAACCATTTACACCGACCAAACAAAAGTGCCTTTACATTGAAAAAATCCCATTGTTGTCCACTAGTGTTGTCTTATGCCTCTTAGAATGGTGCTAAGCAGAAGTGTACAGTATGTAGGATTTCACCTGACCTGTTAACACTTACATAAGAGTTTTCCAGTAAACAGAGGATTTGTTACAAGGATTATTGGTTTTTGTGCAATGTTGATTTTCCTCCAGCTGCCAGGTTCAAGAACCAAAAGGCATGTAGTGCTTGACATAGGCATATTTGCCTTCTGACCTTTAGATGTAGCTTGGTTTTCATTTCTGCATAATCAGCTTTTCTATCCTGTTGTTTGGCTTTTAGTGTTCTAAAATGCTTGAAATATTAATCAAAGCTGTTTTCCTGGGGAAAAAGTATGGAACAAATCTCACTTGAAACAGAAAACATGGTTCAGTCCAAGTTGCTGCTTTTGTGTTGCTATTGAAGGAAAAAACAGTTTATAGTAAATGCTTTTAGTTTCAAGTAAGAACTTACTATTTGCATTACAGTTACCTAGAGAGAACCCAACAGGGACTGTCTGTGGCACAGACCAAAATGAGAAGAGATAATTATCATGTTTAATTAGGTTTTAAACTCCTCTAGCTGGGAAGTATCAACCAAACTAGCAGAATTCATAACAGGGAGAAATTGGAATTGTCACCTCCCAACCCCCTTCCTAGGAAAAATAAAGGCTTGGGGATGTAGTTACATGTCCAAAGTCAAATGTGAAATCCATAGCAGAGGAAGAAACAGAACCTAAACCTTCAAAATCTGCCCCACTCTTAATGGCTAAAGTCATCCTTCTTCAAAGGAGTCGACTCAAGAAGGATGTACAGAACTGTGACCAGTGGGTCAGACTGCATGTAAAAAGGGACTGAAGCATTGAGGCAGAGCAAAGGTACATGGGGGAATTTAAAGAAAAGAGAAAAAGTCCATTGTACAGATAAAGCTGGGTAACCCTGAAAGGACAACTGCCAGCACAGTGCTGCCAGCAGACAAAGCATCACGGAGAAACAATGAACAGCACGCAAGAGAAAGGAGCCAGGGGAGCCAGGATTGTCCCATCCTAGAGAAAATAAACACATTTAGAATGTAATAAGGTGCTTCCATTAGACCTGAGGAGGTGAAGTCTCTGCAAAAGGGCACAGTTAGCAGAACACCAGTCATCCACAGGAAGCAGACACTCTTGAGCAAGAGGTGCTTGAACTCATGTACAAGGATTTGTCTGTTCCCTACCCAAGTAGGAAGCAGGAAGTCCTTGACAGATGCAAACACACACCTCTGTGGTAAAGGGATTTCACTCCAAAAAGGGTAACCATTTTTATTTGCAAACTGGATTTGGAGCCATCTGGGCTTTGTGGGACTGAGCAGAGCAGATGCTGAAAGGCAAAGAGAAACACTAACCTTTTGCTGACTGGTTTTCACTCTGGGTGGTACTGTTTGTCCCCTTCTCTCCTGGCTGTGGTTCTGCTGTTCATCCAGCAAAAAAACCCCTGCAGTAACCATGCAAAAATCATAATTCTGTTGTGGCTTGGGTAAAATCAATCAAAGACTTGGTGGGCCAAAACTCTCGAAATGACTGAGACCTGCAGCAGATGAGAAGAGCTCCTAAGCAAACAGAATTACACATACCTGACCACTGGTCAGGTACCAGTGGCTACAGAGCCCATTACTCACATCTTGACAGGGTTTTTGTTTTAAAAAATGACAATATTCCTTTTAGAGAAGAGTCCCCAGATTAGATTCACACCTCAAGAAATGGTTCTAGAGGGGTGACTGCTTATCAAAATTAAAATTACATGTCTCAATACCATCTCCAGAGCTGAACCTGTAAAAGTGAGCTTAAAAATAAAGTAATAATAATAATAATAATAATAATAATAATAACTATTTCATCTGCCAAAGAAGAACAACAAACAAGAAACCAGTGTGCCCATGGTGTAATGTCAGCCTTGGCATGTGCTGTGGCTCAACCAGGACTTTCCCTAAAATATAACTCAGGATTGAGCACTTGAGCTGATACTAAATGAAGCATCAAAGGTTGGTGACTTTGTTTAGAGACTTTAAAAATGCACCAGTGCATCTTCCTGCCTGCTGAAATTTGCTTCCATGTGTTTTGAGAAATACCTGTTGTCAAGCTGAAAATGTTGGGCAGGTTAATGGAAGTACAGTCTAATAGTGATAAATCTGGGTATTTTTTCCCACTCCTCCACCATCAGAACAAGACACTTAATTTTGAACATGGGCAGAAAAAATTTGGCCTTTTGTAGGGATCCACAAACAGCATAGCTTACAATCTGCCCAATCCTGTATGGGCTAGGGTTGGGAAGGAGGTGAACAGGAGGTGAAGCACTGTGTCCCCAGTTTGCTGCTACCTGTTGTGGCTGGTGGCAGGGGCTCAGTCTCACGGTTCATGCAGCACACGTGGAGAAGAGTGCACAGCACACGTGGCAGGGCCCCAGCCCACCCACGGGTGGGTCAGTGCCCAGGGCCCCCAGCCCACCCACGGGTGGGTCAGTGCCCAAGGCTCCAGCCCACCCACGGGTGGGTCAGTGCCCAAGGCTCCAGCCCACCCGCGGGTGGGTCAGTGCCCATGCCCCCAGCCCACCCACAGGTGGGTCAGTGCTGAAGAGCCGCCTGCAGGACGCGGCTGTGGGGCGGAAATATCGCCCAGCGCCGCGCAGGGTCTGGAACAAGCACTTGGCTCGCTCACAGACTCTTTTGCAACTGCAGGCAGTTTGCACGGTTCACGTTTTCCTTTGGAAGTCGAGAGAATGATCCCTGCCCTGCTCTCTCCGAGATTGCAGGGGCTGCCCTTGGGTCTGGACTCTGTGGCATCCAGTCCAGCAGCTGTCAGAGGCTGCTCGGTGTCATCTGAGCAAAACACCACAGAAATAGCAATCCAGAGGCAGTGCTCTTCCGTTAGTAGAGCAGCTCAGAGAATCTTTGAAAAAACTACAATTTTATAGCAAAATACCCAAGTGACAAACTCCTTGGAGGTGACAATATGTAGGAGAATTAGCAATGGGAGGGAAGCAGAATTTCTGAGTATTATTATATGCCATTAACAACTTTCAGATCTCACTGGGAGCGCTTTGTTGCACCTTGCTTTGTAGTGATGAGTTAGGCTTCCTAATGACACTTTTTCTGAGCATCTAAAAACCTTTACATTTTTTGAGTCCTAGTAAATATGTAAAACCTGAAGTGCTCAAAAACTTGTTTTGAGCAACCTGAATAGTGTCCATCAAAGCAAACATCCTAAACCCCCTCCTTTCAAGGCACTTGTTGAACACTGTCATCTTGAAATGTCAGATTCACACACATTTAAATGATTTGACAGCTTCCAAGAAGGCACCTGATAAGCATCACATTCAAGTGTCAAGAAGCACAGAGAAAAAGTGCCAAAAAAAGTTCAACCAGAAGAAATCGTATCAGCTATTAGATGAGCATTATAATGCGGTTATTACTAAAAAAGACTTCTCATTTAAATGGAAAATAAACTTTACATTCAAGTCAACTCTTTTTTTAAAGGCTTTACATTTCCCCATACCACCTCCCATGTTTGCCATTTGTGAAATCTTCCAGAAAACTGAATCCAGACAGCAGCACCCACTGGTACTGGGTGACACCTCAAGACCACTGTAACTGAGCCATTGGAAGTGCTACATCTGGGGTTTTATGTGGGAAACAGTGGGTGTTATGAGAATTCACTGTCTTCACATAAAACCTTTAATGCCTTCTGTTGCCTTTCTGAAAGCTGAATCGCTAAATGAGAAGATTCTTGAAAAAATATCCTGGCCTTGATTTGCATATGCTCCAGTTATTTCATTGCACCAAATACTATGTGTGTTTTATATAGGGGCTTGAGGCTTACTGTGTGTTTGTGATATGCTTTGAGATCCTCTGATGGGAGGTGTTACCTAAATACAAGTAATTTGATGCTGAAGTGTCTAGAATTCCCAGTGGACATCTGTACTCGAGCCCTGCTGCCATCACAAATGAAAAACATTTGGAATCCTTAATGTGATTTTTAATGGACATATGTTCATAACACAGTGCCACCAATTTGGCATGTTTAGTGTCTTCTCAAGAGAAGCCCACAGTTTGTATAGCAAGATTGTGGGAGGTTAGGATTGCAGTGTTAGAAAATTTGCACAACACCTGCCTGACTGTAATTTAATTGGCAGAAATTAATGCTCTGGGTTTGGGAATTTTTCCTTCTCTCAAAACCTAGAGACACTAGGACTGATTCTGCTGTATTACACTGTTGTATGTAAGCTTTTATTCTGATTTCATTTGTGCTGCAATATGATAATTTCCTGGTCTACTCTCTTCCTGACGACTGAGCATTGCTGGCTTATTCTCAGTTATTTCTATATACACTGACTTACATAGCCAGCAAAAACCATTCAGTTTTTTTTTGTACTTCTCTGAAAAGAGCTCTGCCTAGTATTATTAAAGATAATGCTCCCTTGTATTTTTAACGAAGGTACTTTATGGCATGTTTTAAAAGGAAAATATTTCTCATCAGCTCCACAAGTGACACAGTATGTGGATTCTGAAGACAAACACCAGCTTTGCCATTATTAAATTGGTTTTGGATTTTATCTTTGCTTATATCACAGCCCTATCTGAAGCAGTCTTTAGCAGCTCTTATCCCACCAGATTTTTGTTTTCCTTTTCAGGAATGTTTGGTCTTGCCATGCATCAAGGACAGCCCCTCTTACCTCACTATTTTCTTCCCTTATTTTCAAAACATAATAAAGGGCTTTGCAGGGAAGATAGAGGGTACAGTCCCAGGGGGTGTCCCTGCAGTAGGAGAGTCAGATCTGCAGTATTTTAGACTTGCAGGTGGGAAGGTGAGCTACAATCCTATCCCCGCTGCTCTGCCAGCCTGGCCTTTTGTGGGTTGTAAGTCACTGCTGGCTGCCCCATCAAGAACCTTGCTGGGAACATCCAACTGCCTCACAAACCTGAGATACAGCAGGGCTGTGAACACCCTTTATACAAGATAAGTAAATTTTGTTGCTTTTCAGAGCTTCCTTAAACTTAGCTGGGAATCCCAGATTTCCCTGTTCTGCAAACTACCAATGACAAGCATGGTAAAAACCCCATCAATACAAAACAGTCACAAGTTGGCACAAAAGCATCACCTTATCCAGGCTCCAGATGCTTTGCTAAGCCTGGGTATAAATAGAAGGAGAGGAAATGGCAGCAGGGTTATCTCTACAGTTATTTTTGTCTGAAATTCTTCAGTCTCCACACACCCAGACTGCATGGACAAACACATGAAGACCACCTTTCTTTATGGTCACAATTGTCTAAAATGGAATAGGGGAAGCTAAAGACAGGCCTGCAGAAACAGAGACAAGAGCTCAAAGTGTCTGAGATCACACTCAGGTGTCTGATAGCACACTGAGATAACTCTCAGAATTATGAGTAGTGGCTGTTGATATCAGATACTGCCACAGCTGACACAGACACAGACTCAGGTCTGTGCATGTGCACCTGCACACAGTGCACTTCACCCACAG